GAGTTGGTCTTCTGTGTATAAAAGTTAATTGAAAATGAATCTTAATGGAGAATGGGACTGGGAATGGGAGAGGGAGGAGGTGTAAGGGTGGGAGTAGGGCCAGGAAGGCGGGAATGGTGGGAAGAATAATATATTCCTAAAGTTGTACTTATGAAATTTGTACTCATTAAATAAAAGGCTTATTTGGGTTAAAAAAAAAAAGAAGAAGAAGAAGAAGAAAAAGATGGCCCAAGTCCTTGGGCCCCTGTACCTGCATGGGAGACCTGGAAGAAGCTCCCGGCTTTGGATCGGCGCAGCTCCAGCCATTGCGGCCATCTGGGGTGTGAAGCAGTGGATGCAAGATCTCTCCACCTCTCTCTCTCTCTCTCTCTCTCTGCCTCTGCCTTTCTGTAACTCTGCCTTTCAAATAAATAAATCTTTAAAAGAAAAGAAAGATGGGCCACAACATAATCTGACTTGTGGTTTTTGTTTTTTGTTTTGTGTTGTTTTAGATTTTTGTTTTATTTGAAAGGCAGAGAGACACAGATATTCTACCAGCTGGTTCACTCCCCAAATGGCTGCAACAGCCAGTGCTGGAACTCCATTCAGTTCCCCTACTGGGGTTGCAGGAACTCAAGCACTGAGCCAGCATCTACCGCTTCCCAGGTGCATTAGCAGGAGGCTGGTTTGGAAGTGGAGCAGCTGGGACTCAAATCAGCACTCTGATAGGGGATGTGGGCTTCTCAAGTGGCGGCTTATTCCACGTCACCACAACACCCACCTGTGTTTGTTTGTTTGTGTTTATTTATTTGAAAACCAGAGAGAGACACAGAAAGACCTTTCATCTGCTAGCTTATTCCTCAAATGCCCACAACAGCCTGAGCTAGGCCAGGCCAAACCCGGACGCCAGGAATTCTATCCAGATCTCCTTAATGGGCGGCAGAAACCCAAGCACCTGAGCCCTTGTGTGCTGCCTCCAGGGGCTCACATCAGCAGGAAGCTGGACTGGAAGCAGAAGTGGGGGATCTGATCCTAGTACTCCCATCTAGAGTGCAGGCATTCCAAGTGGCAGCTTAACCTGCTGCCCAGCCTGCTTCGTGCTTTTAAAAGCTCCCCCCTGGGGGCCGGCTCTGTTATTTAGCTGGTTAAGCCGCTACCTAGAGTGCCACAGGTGGAGAGCTCTGGCTTCTCCACTCCTGATCCAGCTCCATCTGGGAAAGGAGCAGAGGACGCCCAAGTGCTTGGACCCTGCACCCATTTGGGAGAGCCGGATGAAGCTCCTGGGTCCTGGATCCTGGTTTCCGTCTGGCCCAGTCCCGGCCACTGGGGCCATTTGGGGGAATGAACCAGAGGATGGAAGATCTCCCTCTCTATAATTCTGCCTTTCAAATAAATAACATGAATCTGTTAAAAAATAAATAAAATTAAAACTCCCAGTGGCTTCCTTGTGGGAACTGTAGGGCAAGAAAGAAAGCAGAGGAACAGTTGTTTGGTCTAGCAGTTAAGATGTCTGTCTCCTATCAGAATTCCCGGCTCCCGACTTCCCCACGGCCCTGGGAAATAGCAAGTGATGGCTCAGTGGTAGTTCCTGCACCCACGTGGGAGATCCCAGATTGAGTTCCTGGCTTCCGGCTTCAGGTCCCAGCTGGGGAGTGAACCAGTGGATGAAAGGTTCCCGCTCCCCGGTCTCTCTCTCAAATAGATAGATAGAAAGATAGATAGATAAATTTAAGGTAAAAGTAATGATAACTTCTTAAAAGAGCAGAGAAATAAAGCAAAGGTCACAGTTAGAAGGCTAGGGCAGCAGGCCACCCCAGAGAGGACGACACAGACTGGGTATATTTGGGTGTGAGTCTGGAACCTCTGTATTTCACCAAGGGCAATTCACTCACTTTTCAAGGCTGCCTTGCACCCAGCTTAGCTGGCACCCAGGAGGCTCAATCGGCAGGTGCCTCTTCTGCATCACTCCTACCTCCTTTCCTCCTTTTCTCCATTCCCTTCACCTCCCTAAATCTCAAGTGCCCATTTGCTTCTCGCCCGACTCCAGCCTTCAGGAGGTCCTGCTGTTCCCATTCTTACAGTGCCTCTCCTCACCCCATCTCCCGTGAAAGTTCCACAAACTGCATAGAAAGGAAACAATTATTATCCATCCTACCCAGAAGCACTCAGATTATCAACTTCCCAGAACACTAATGGAAGCCCACAGGTCATTAGGTTCTCAGTAACACAACCTGCACACATTCTGCAAGTTAAGGGCGCTGTCTCCTCCTCTGTTCCAGCCTGTTCTCCCTACCACAGACAGGGAAAGTGTTCTTTCTGTAAGATTTATTTATTTGAAAGGCAGAAAGAGAGAGAGAAGGAGAGAGATCTTTCACCTATGGGTTCACTCCCCCAAATGGCTGCAATGGCCAGGGCTGGGCCAGGCGGAAGCCAGAAGCCAGGGCTTCTTCTGGGTCTCCCACATGACTGCAGGGGCCCAAGCACTTGGGCCATCTTCTACTGCTTTCCCAGGAGCATTAGCAAGGAGCTGAATCAAAAGTGGAATAGCTGGGACTCGATCCGGCGCTCACGGGACGCCAGTGTTGTAGGCAGCAACTTAACCGGCTGTGCCACAATGCCGGCCCCACAGAAAGCTTCAACAGGAAAAATCTGATCATGATCTCATTCACTCTCTCTTCTGCCTCCCCTTTCCCTTCCTGTTTAACCCCCTCCAACGTCTTCCCCTTCGTCCTCAGAAAACAGCAACATCTTCAGCATGGGCTACAGGGCCCTGGAGGTGTGGCCCAGAACACACCTCCCACCACTCCTCTCGCGGCTCCTGGGGCTCCAGCACATGGCCTTCTTTCGGGTCTTTGGTCAGACTCGTCCCCTCCTGCCACAGGACTTTCGTATATGCTGCTCGCTTGGCCCCCATGGCCCTTCGAGTTCCCTTCCTCCTCAGCTGGCATTCATTCATCCCTTAGCTCTGTACCAAAATGTCTCCCTTAGCAAAACCTACTCTGATCTGACACTAAAGCTGGAACGAGTGTTCATACATGCACCGACCTGGCTGGCTTTCTTTCAAAGCACTTACTAGTTTACGATGATACATGGATTTGTGTGACTATATGATTTGAAACCAGTTATTTCTTTTCCCCTCCCAATAGATGGTAGGCTCCGGGAAAGTACCACTGCCAATGGCTGCCCACCAGCACTGTATCCACAGCAGGTCTTGACAGGCCCTAAAATCTGAGATACTGGGGTAGGCGTGTGGCACCACGGTTAAGATGCTGTTTCAGATGCCCACATTCCGTGTCAGAGCGCCTGGGTTCAAGTCCTGGGCCTGCTTCAGGATCCAGCTTCTGCTAATAAACCCTGGGAGACAGCAGGTGATGGCTCAAGTGCTTGGATCTCTGCCACCCGCATGGGAGACCCAGATGGAGGTTTCTCAGCTACTGGCTTTGGGCTGGCCTAGCCCAACCCAGGCTGCTGTGGGCTCTTTGGGGGAGTGAACCAACTGATGGGAGCTATCTAGCTTTCTTTCTCCTCTATTTCCTTCTCTCTGCCTTTCAAATAAACAAAAAATAAAGCCTTAGCTATCATTCCTTTTTTGACTGAGCAAACCAAGAAGGAATTATGCACCTTCTGGTAGCAAACTATGACCAGGAAGAAAAGGAGAGTCAGTGTTAGATGCCCACTTGGCTACAAACTCAGCACGTCTTCCTTGCCTCTTCCCGGAAAACATGGCTGACGCCAACGTAGCATTGGTTTCCAAGACCTGTCATTCCTCCTGAGCTGGTCCATCATCCCCTTCTCAGCCTCCTCGTCAGCCCCAGGCTCCCCACCCCCACCCCCAAGCAACCAAACCCTCCGATGTCCAGCACAGGAGAGGTGCAGGGAGTGAGAGAATCCACTACCGCTCACTCCCGGTCACACAAGCAATGGTCATCCTGCAAAGCCCTTATAGCCCTTTCACAGACAGATCCCTGAGACAAACTCCCTGTCCTGTTGTAATCGCTTGGGAAACTTGAGGTTCCAAGAGGCCTCGCGAGTCGCACAAGGTCACACAGTCCGTGGGAGGCAGCCCTAAGATGAGCACCTACAACCCCCTGACACCTTAGTCCGGAGTTTTCCTTGCCATTAGCAGTCTCCTTCGCGGTAAACTTAAACTTGGCTTTCTCGTCCCTCAGTAAACACCTGTTCCTGACCCATCAATGCATCCTCAGCCCCATCTGTGCTCCCCTCCCCTGCACCTGTCCTGGTCTGTGCACGGGGCGGGGTGGGGGGCGCACAGCCCCTACAGCCTTTCCCAGCACTTCCTCTGTGGGAGCCACCCCGGGGAACCAGAAGCCCCCAAGGAAAAGAAAAAAAGAAAAACACAAAGACAAGACCTGCCCCATCAGAGCCAGGTCCCTGGCTATCCTTCGGCCCGCGACGAGCCCAGAGCCGGCGTCTCCTGGCAGGGAAGACCCGGAGAGAACCGGGGCAGCGTGGCGGCGCCAGGGATGCGGCACAGACCGGCCAGGCTCCCGGTTCGGCCCAAGGTCACCCAGCCCCGGCCCGATCCCCACCCACTCGGCCCGAGCGCCCCCTGGCGTCCCGGGCTGGCCTCCCCCTCGCCCTCAGGGAGTGGCCCGGGAAGTCCGGGCTCGGGGGGCCGAAGGAAGGAAGGAGGAGGGTGGGCCGAGGACCGGGAGAGGCTGCGCCCCGGGGAGGAGCGGGAGGCGGGGCCCTCTACCTGATAGCTGAGGACGCCGTCCGGCTCGTTACTCCCGGCCGGCATAGCGGCCCCGAGCTAGGTGTCGCCGGTGGGTTCCAGGCCGCGCGTCCGCAGCCCGCGCGCCGGGCTCGGGTGTGAGCGGGTCACCCCCCGTAGGCGACCCCGCTCCCGGAGCCAACGGTCAACCATCAACCGCCGCCGCCGCCGCCTCCATAGCCACCGGCCCGCGAGGCGTCCGCCGCAGCCAATCAGCGAGCGGCCTGGGCAGCCAATCAGGGCGCGGAGCACGGGAGGACGCCGTCCGGCGGTACCCGGGGCGACCAGAGGAGGCGGAGCCAGAGCTCGGGAGCCAACCACCGCGGGGCCCGGTTGCCGTGGAAACCGCCTCCCTCCCTTCAGCCCCCGCCCCGGGCTTGAAGGTCCTTTCAACTGCTTGCTAGAAATTGAACAATTCCCACTCCTAGCCAGCGGGCTGCGGCTGCACCTGACCCTTGGAAACTGGACGAGTGCTGCCTTTTGCCTCTTCTGAGTTTAATCCTCGGGGGATGAGCTTTTCCGTTCTGGAGGTAGTGGGGTGGGGGGACGTCCCTGCCGGTTGCAGGTGGAAGTGATTTGGGGGTGAGGGGCCAGGGCCTGGTCGGGTGACTTGGTGAACCCCTGAGCTAGTGGGCCAGATTGAAGAGGAGGAAGCCGGTAGCGCTGGGGCCTCCTCAGCAGACTCGGCGCTGCCCCGGGTCTGCTCCCCGCACCAGGAGCCCAGACAGAATGTAGCCAAGAAATGCTTCCAGCTTGTCCAGAAAATGGTGGAAAGCCGGTGATCACTGAACAACAGAACCACCGACCCAGGGCCAGGTTAGAACGTCCTAACGAACGCATATAGCAAGACTTGAGTTGGATGAGAACAGAAAGGACGGCCAAAATCCAGCCTGCAGAGGAGGCTGCCCCATCACCTCCGACTGTAGGTGGGTGTGCATTGTTGGTGGGGAAAGCATCCTAGCACGTGTTGAAGCTCCATCTCCTGCATCCTGGATCTTGCATTGGCCCTGAAACTGGAAACAAACACGGCTGGACTTCTGTGTCCCTGAACAGAGCCATATGTCTGAGCCCCTGTCTGAGCCCCTTGTCTGGAGTGAGTCTTAGGGTCCATCGCCACACTCCCTGTCCATCTCACCACGAACCCTGTCCCTTGCACCTGGAGTTCACATCCCACCCTCCTCCTCATCTTGACCTGCCAGAATTTTAACCATCCTCCAAACTATCAAAGGCCACCTCCTCCAAGAAGCCTTTCATTATTATGCCCTTTGTGACATCCCTAACAGATGTCAACTCTTCCTGCTTGGAATCCTTAACAGTATTTCAGACCTTAACAGAGTTTCTGGGCTTCAGTCATTTTTAAAATGTTGGGTTTTTTTTTTTAATGTTGACTTTAGCTTACTACAATATTATAAATTCTTTGAAAGCAATTTTTTAAAGTTAATGTCCATTTTTGTATATGAAAGGCAGAGACACAAAAAGAGAGATCTTGCACCAGCTGGTTCACTCCCCAAATGCCTGCAACAGCCAAGACTAGACCAGGTCAAAGCCAGGAGCCCAGAACTCCATCCAGGTCTCCCATGTGGGTGGCAGAGACGCAAGGACTTGAACCATCATCTGCTGTTTTCCAGAGCGTCTTAGCAGGAAGTTGGATAGGAAGCAGAAGAGTGGGGATTTGAATGAGGCACTCCAATATGAGGTGCGGGCATCCCAAGCAGTAATGTTGCCATGGCACCAGATGCCCACCTTGGCAAGGATTCTTCTTTTGCCCTTCTGTGTACTCCACAGAACCTTGAAGAATGCTGGAAAGTAGTTGGCAAATATAAGAGAGGTCTTCAAAAAGGTTGTGGAAATGCATACTATGAAAAGATGAAGAGAGATTTCAAGGATTTTTTTTGCACCAAAATAAGCTTATATTTTAATTCCATTTTCTACAGACTTTTTGAAGTATCTTATGCTTTTAATTTAATCTAATAAAAATTTTTTGGGAGCCAGTGCTGTGGCATAGTGGGTAAAGCCACCACCTGCAGTGCCAGCATCCCATATGGACACTGGTTCGAGTCCTGGCTGCTCCTCTTCCGATCCAGCTCTCTGCTATGGCCTGGGAAAGCAGCAGAAGATGGCCCAGGTGCTTGGGCCCCTGCACCCACGTGGGAGACCCAGAAGAAGCTCCTGGATCCTGGCTTCGGATTGGTACAGCTCCGGCCGTTGCAGCCATCTGGGGAGTGAACCAGCAGATGGAGGATCTCCTTCTCTGTCTCTCTCTCTCTCTCTGTATCTCTACCTTTCAAACAAATCTTTTTTTTTTTTAAATGTTCTGAACATTGGGGCTGGTGTGATGGTACCACAGGTTAAGCTGCTGCCTATGGTACCAGTATGGGATACTGGCACCAGTTGAAGTCCCGGCTCCTCCACTTGTGATCCGGCTCCCAACTACTGTGCCTGAGAAGGCAGCAAAGGACAGCCCAGGTACTTGGGCCCCTGCCACTGATGTGGAAGACCCAGATGGAGTTCCAGGCTCCTGGCTTCTACCTCGCCGAAGCCCTGCCATTGCGGCCATTTGGGGAATAAACTAGTTAGTGTATGGAAGATCTCCCTCTCTCTCTGTCACTCTGCCTTTCCAATAAATAAATCTTTATTTAAAAAATTATTGAACATTAACTATGGCCAGACCCAGATAGCACAGAAGATGTCGATAAATGTGAAATATAATATAGGGTGGGCATTTGGCACAGTGGTTAAGACAGCACAGGGGACACTTGCATCCCATATCAGGGTGCCTGAGTTTGAGTCCTGACTCCACTTGGAATTGCAGCTTCCTGTTGATGTGCACCCTGGGAGACAACAGGTGATGGCTCGGGTCCTTGGGTCCTCGCCACCCACATGGGAGACCCAAATGGAGTTCCTGGCTCCTGGATTCAGCCTGGCCCAGCCCTGGCTCTTGCAGGGATTTGGGGAGCCAGTGGATGAAAGATTTATCTCTGTGTGTGTGTTTAAGAAAACTGAAGCCACCTGGAATTCAATCATTATGAACTCAGAACACATTGCCTGACATTGCCTGAGAACCTAGATCCAGCCCTGTGTTTGTGTGCTTTTGCCCTTAGCTGAGTCTTACAGCTTAGCGCGGGGATAGTAAGCAAGTAAACCCACAGCACACTACAGGTTCCGATGGCTCCTATGAGGGTAAACTGAGAACAAAGGGGAAGTCTCATCTGGCGAGGTATGTCAAGCTCAAGTCTGATCCTAGAGTTCATGGCCACCATGTCACTCTGTCCTATAAAAATGGCACCGTCTATGACATCTGCCACAGAGGCAGGATGGAGGGGGCCAAGGATGGCGCCCACACTCCCCACTCCCCCAAAGGCTGGTCCTGGCCATAGGCAGGGCAAGGTAGGAAGGAGAATGAAGAGGGAGACTCATCCCCAGGAGCCCTGGTGGCTGCGGTGGAGGCAGAGCCTCTGGCCCTGGGGTTCCAGGGTTAAGAGCCCCACCTTCTGGCCTACTGTGCAAATTACAAAGGGAGGTGGGCCACGGAGCTGCCTCTGCGGCCGCCTGAGGCTGCCGTCCTCTGGGGCACTGTGGAAGCCAGGCGTTCCCTTCCCAGGGCTCATGTGGTCTCTCTCTCTTTCCTGAGTACAGACAGCAGGCTCTTAGCTTCTACCGCTCCCTATGCATGTTGGAAAAATGCAAATGATGGTTCTCAGCAGGGCCAGCAATGAAGCCCTCAAGGAGCTGCATGGAGAATATTCGGCCAACGCCACCACCTCCCATTGGTTATTCTTCTAAAGAAGCCAAGAAAATCAGTGGGGCTGGCTTTTTGGCATAGAAGGTAAAGCCACCACCTGCAGCACTGGCATCCCATATGGGCAGTCCCAGCTGCTCCACTTCCGATCCAGCTCCCTGCCAATGGCCTGGGAAAGCAGCAGAAGATGGCCCAAGTCCTTAGGCCCCTGCACCCATGTGGGAGACCTGGAAGGAGCTCCTGACTCCTGGCTTCTGATTGGCCCCACTCCAGCCATTGTGGCCATGTGGGGAGTGAACCGTTAGGTGGAAGATCTCGTTCTCTGTCTCTCTCTCCGTAACTCTGCCTTTTAAATCTTTAACAAATAATAAAATTATGAAAATTAAATAACAGGAACAGAACTCAGATTTTCTGGGCCAGCATTTGGCCTGGAAGAAGGCATAAAGTGGAGAAGAAAATGTCAAATGAATGTGTGGTGACAACAACCACACACACATCATCATCACATCAACAGGGAAGCAGGGAGGCACAAGACAGGAACTGCCTCAATCCTTACAGCAACTCAGAGGTTCTATAATCCCACTTTACAGATGAGAAGACTGGGGCTTAGCGCCATAGACGTCCTCGGGTCCAGACTGCATGAGTCTGACCATCCTCCTGCCTCCCCTGGGGCTGCTGGGGATCTACCCTTCTCTAACTGTCAAAGGCTCCACTCTCTGCTGCCAACTGAGTCTACCTTCTACATTCCGTCTCTACCCTCCTCTCTCTCTCTAGGACCACTGGTTCCTACACTTCGGGGGAAGAGGCAGGTCTTGAGCCCCCGGGAGAGATGATAAAGTCGCTGGGTTCTCTTTTTTAAAGATTTATTTATTTATTTGAAAGAGTTACACAGAGAGAGGAGAGGCAGAGAGAGAGGGAGAGAGAGGTCTTCCATCAGCTGGTTCACTCCCCAGTTGGCCGCAACAGCCAGAGCTGAGCTGATCCGAAGCTGGGAGCAAGGAGCTTCTTCCGGGTCTCCCACACCAGTGCAGGGGCTCAAGAACTTGGCCATCTTCTACTGCTTTCCCAGGCCATAGCAGAGAGCTGGATCGGAAGAGCAACAGCCGGGACTCGAACCAGTGCCCATATGGGATGCTAGCACTGCAGGTGGTGGCTTTAACCTGCTATGCCACAGCGCTGGCCCCATGGGCTCTCTTTCTTCTCAGGTAATTTCACAGGACACAAAGTGCTAGCTATCCAGTCGTGAGTTACTTAAGACAGATTCATTCTGAGTAGCGCACTGTTTGGCAATGTGACTGTTACACGACTCTCATGGGGAGCACTTACACAAGCTGGGAGAGCTACAATGCCTCTGGGCGGGACTTTCCCATCATTGACCAGAAAGTGCACAGCTCTACTGCCCAAAGGGCACCGAACTTCTCTCATCTGGAGATAAACAGGCATAAATGCGAGAAACTCAGAACATCCGAGAAAACGCTCCCATACAATTGCCGACGTTTCCATTAAAAGCACTCTAATTCTTCTGACAGTTTGCCATGTCTCTGGCTCTGAACTGTCCAAGGGTCCGCATGGGAGAGTTCCCAATCTTCACTTGCCTTTATGTATCTTCCTTTAAAAAAATAATTGATTGATTTACTTATTTATTTGAAAGGCAGAGTGTCAGAGAGAGAGAGAGAGAGAGAGAGAGATCTTCCATCTGCTGGTTCACTCTCCAGACAGCCAGAACAGCCATGTCTGGACCAGGCTGAAGCCAGGAACCAGAAACTACAGTCTGGTCTCTCACACAGGCGGCAGGGGCCCAATTACTTGAACCACCTTCAGCTGCCTTGTCAGGCACATTAGCAGGAAGCTGGATCTGAAGCAGAGCAGCCAGACCTGACCTTGAACTCTGATTTGGGACGTAGCCATGGCAACAGTGGCTATTACTCCCTGGACTACAACCTATCGCCCAGTTTCCAGCTGCTGCTTCTACCTGATTTTTGCCTCCTAATTAGACATCTAAAACCAAGAAAAGGCTGCAGGAGAAGACGTCAGGAACCCAGGAGGAACTTAATGAGGGCTTGTTTGTGCTGTAGCCTGGTGAGCGTCTCCTGTGGCAGGGAAGCGCGAGGCGGGGGGAGTGGGAGAGAGACACCGAGTTCTGTCACACAGGTGCGTCATCGGCTTTCAGCCCTGCCAAGTCACAGCGTATTTCCAGAGCCTGCGGAAGACAGTTTTTCCTCTGTTCACAGTATACTGCCAGCCTGGAACGCCACAGCCACATACCACAGGGAAGAATCCTGAAGCACCAGGAAAACCGACTGTTGGAATCGCATCACCCACCACCACCGCATTCATCATCAACATCATCCACAGAACTTGGTCGCATGGCACTCAGTGACACCTGGCTCTGAGGCAGAACACAGGTGAGACAGTAGAAACCTGCCCTGCCTTCTTTAGAATCACCATTAAGATACATGGACAGCGGCCCGCATTATGGCGCAGCCCGAATCCCATCTGGACGGCCAATTTGAGTCCCAGCTGCTCTGTTTCCAATCCAGCTCCCTGCTAATGCTCCTGGGAAAGCAGCAGAGGATGGCCTAAGTTCTTGGGCCCCTGCTACCCACCTGGGAGACCTGGATGACCCCAGTGGAGTTCTGGCTCCTGGCTTTGGCCTGGCCCAGCCCCAGCCATTGCAGCCAGTTGGGGAGTGAGCCAGCAGATGGACAATCTCTCTCTTTCCCTCTCTCTCTCTCTCTCTCCTCCACCCCCTTTCAAATAAATACATAGTTTAAAAAATTAAGATACTTGGACAGAGGCAGAATGACAGCAAGGACTCCAGAGGAAACAGAAGAAAATAGAAAAACAAGCTGTAAAAAATAAAAATAAAATGCCATAGGCAAGGCAAGACTAGACTTCCAGCTCCGGATGGGAAGCCATTCAGGAAACGAAGAGGAGCAGGTGTTCACCACGGACCACCTGCCAAGTCCTTGGTTACCAGATCTGAACACGTTTGTATCCAATGCATTTACCTGCTTCTACCCAGCCTAGCCCTGCTTAGAAATGAAGCCCGATTACAGCGGTTTCTCCCTGCATTTTTATCTGCCTGGGGATTAGGACCTCCTGAGTAAGGAGGTACAGACTTGGCTTTCAACCAATCCGCTCGAGAGGGCGGGACTTAAGGTGGGCGAAGCTGCAGGGGCTCACAGGCGTGCAATGCTCCGCACTCAACTGCTTCATCCCCACTACCTCGTTTGTGCCTCCCATACACAGAACGTCTTGCAGACTAAGAAGCTGAAGTGTGGCTGGGTCCGGAGACTTGCCCAGGCCTGTCACAGTAAGTGGAGCCCGGTGGAGAGCTGCTGAAGCTCTCGGCCTCATGCTGTGACTTCCCGAAGGAGACTCCCGACGTGGCATCTACAGAACAGCTCACCCTGCCACTCAATCAGAAGCGCGGGCTCCTCATCAGGTGAGAGTGTCGTGCACTTTCCACCATGGAAAGCTTGCAAGTGATACCCATTCATTAGCTTACTGAGCAAACTCAGTTCTGAACGTGACTGTTACTGCTTCTTATCTCCAGATGCGTGCTATCAGACACAGATATAAATTCAACCCAAGCCACTCTGACTCCCAGTGATACCTCCCCGAGGGCCTTTTATTTTGCAGCTAATAAAAAAGAGGCCCATTCGGACGACTGGGCTAAAGGGAAGAGACACAGAATCTGAATTTATTCCGCTTATTTATCTTGCGCTTTCTCTAACCGTTCGCCAAATTGAAAAGGTCAGCTTCTTCTTTGAAGGCAGAGTTGTCCTTTCCACAAGCCAACAGAAAATTGGAGTATTCGTTAGATCTGCAAAAAAAAAAAAAAAAAAAAAAAAAAGGTAAAATGGTCAGCAGAGAGAAAAAAAAAAAGAATTCAGGACTCAACACTTAGAATGCAATCAGCAGAGCCTGGGGGAGGCAGAGTAGACGGAAGCCATTACAGGCAGCTTGCATCCCATGTCAGCTGAAGACGTCCCAGAACTTCTCGTGCCTGTCCCCTAAGAATTGTTGAGAGGGGCTTAAATCCTCCTGACCGTTTTCCACCCAACACAAGTTCTCTCCCGCAGCATCCCCGAGAAGGGGCCAGCCAATGTTCCGTGGATACCTCCAGGGACACAGAACTGCCACTGAATGAGGCTGGCAGCCCGATGCCGGGTACGGTTTGCCTCATTCCAAGTGCTCTCCTCTGTGGCTCCCTGGGCAGCCCTCCTTGTAGCCCATTGCCATACCCTCCCTGGCTCTTGTCTTCCTGGGACAAATGGGATTACCGTCTCTGGCAAACCAGTTGCAACTCTTTGGTGGTGGTTCCTAACCATCAGGAGAACTCCAGCAACAGAAAGCCAACTTTAAAAAGACTTCCACGGGGGACCAGCCTACGGTGCAGTGGGTTAACGCCCTGGCCTGAAGCGCCGGCATGTCAAATGGGCGCTGGTTCAAGACCTGGCTCCTCTACTTCCATTCCAGCTCTCTGCTATGGCCTGAGAAAGCAGTGGAAGATGGCCCAAGTCATAGGACAAAATCTTTGTCTTGGGATAACTTTATTATGCCAGTAGTAGCTGCTGAACCCCCACATTAGACAAAGGATTCTCTGACTAGTAATGCTAGTTCTTCTGACCCCATTACTAGTTCTTCTGACCCCATTTACACAGAAGTAAATGTAGCCATAGCTCCTGCCACCCATGGACGGCACACTTGCTTCCCCTGGATGCTCTCCAGGCAGCACCCCGATAACCCCATTATGTCATCTCTTTCATGCCTTCTGTTCTGTGTGTCTCCAGGGAACCAGACAGCCAGATCTGTTTAATGCCACATAATTTACTATACCTACACCACATTTTATGGCCTTAATTTAATTCATTATAGATATTGTGATGTGGCTCTGTTTTCCCGAAAAACAGGTCACTTCTTCATTTGCTTGGCAATCAGCCTCCTCCTGGTTAGCCACAGTCGGAACTTTCTCATCTCTTCTGGTAAGCGATAACAGAATATGAACCAAAACCCGTAATAAGGTTTGGAGTCTCTGGCCCAGAGAGCTCATCTTCTAGAAGTTTACGTAAACAGCTGTAGATGTACGTGCATGGGGTTCCAGCAGCACCCTCGTACATCCGGGGATATCCCCCAGTGGAATGTGGGCACAAATATGAGGGGTGCGTTAGCCATAGCGCATTGCATGCCAGTGCCTTAGGTTGCAAGGAGGGGAAGAAGTGGTGACCTGGCCAGTGCTCAGAGAGGTTGAGGTGCAACATATGCACCCGAGGGGGTCAGGAACGGGCCAGACACTGGACTGGCCTCTTGCCTCACTCTTCTTGAGGTCACCTCTCCCAAGGGGAACTTTTGCTCCCTGGTCTCCCTTCTACCTCCCAGACCTCTGAGAAATTTCCTGTTCAAGGGCATCTCCCAGGAAGAAGCCTAGAAGGGGCAAGGTGATCCCTCTCTCTTGGACCAGTACCTTCCTTCCTCCCACGGTGAGCCACCACCCGGCCTCCTTGCTCAGCTCCCTGGAGATTTAGCAGCTCCATTCCCGAAGCTCTTCCTGGGAGTTTCTCTCTGCTTCCTCCCTGAGCGGCAAGGACCGGAGTGGAAGGGAATGGAGTCAGCCCTTTCACCCACTCTCCTGGAGCAGTAAGTCAGCTCAGTGCAGTGTTCGACTTACTGGCCAGGTGCTTTGGGTTGAAACAGACAACATACTCAAGTTTTGAGTAAAATGAGAAAGAGAGAAAGAAATAGGAAGGGGAAGGGAAGGGAGGAAAGAGAGGGGAGAGGAGAAATGTTCTGGAGGGAGCCGGATCTGATGCGTACTGAGCTGATTTAATCCGAAGTGAGGGCCACGAGGAGAGGGGAGGGAAAGCCAAAGCAGAGGAGGGAAAGGGAGGAGAGGAGAGGGAGGGAAGGGGAGGGGAAGGGAGGGGTAGGGAGCTGAGGGAAGGGGAGGAGAGAGAGAAGAGGGAGGGAGAGGAGGGGAGGGAAAGGAAGGGGAGGGGAAGGGAGGGGAGGGGAGGGAGGGAGGGAGAGAGAGAGTGGAAGAAGGGAGACTTCCAGGATTAATGACTTCAGGTGTAGCAGGATCCAGGAATCCAAAAAGACTGGGGTCCTTAACTCATCGCCTTTCTCTGCCCCTCAGTGTTGCTCTGTGCCCAGGCCGATTCTCCTTCCTCGCGCAGTAGCAAAGAGGGCCACGAGCTCTCATCACCTTCCCAGCCAATGGTTCCATGAGTGGTCCTGTGGGTCTGTGGGGGTTTGGGTGGGGGGCTGGTCTAAGGTAGGAACAAGAGTTCATCTTGTTTGCTGGTTTCAGGAAATGACTCAGAAACCTCGGAGTGGCCTGGCTGGGGAAATGTGCTCAACCCAGAGCCAATCACAGAGACCAAGGTGTCGCGGATTCACCGCCAGCGCTGGGGAGAGAGGTGGGCCCCATCTAAACTGCATGGACTACGAATGAATATGGAAAGAAGCAGGTCTGGACACTGCACTGGGCCTGCCTCAATCCCTGCCTGTCCTTGTACGTGGTCAAGTTCCACAGTCTCCTGTACTTGCTCAGAGTCCACTTCCCCAGAGTGACAATCTTCGGTTGCCAGGTAGCCCGGGGGGGGGGGGGGGTCCCCCACCTCCCATACCCTTCAAGTAACCCCTGATACCATATGTGTGTCTTCTCCTGGGTTGCAGCAAGCAGCAACAGTAGCTACACAGTAACCGTCCTGTAACAGCCTGGAGGTCTGGCTTCACTCTGAGTAAAACCAAACCCCTTGCCTTGCCTAACCTAAGGCAGAGATCACTGGGGCAGAAATGGGAACTCCCAGGCCCTAGCCATGGCTGCACCACGTGGTTGTACAACTTGTATCCTGCAGGGGTTTAGCTTCCAGGCCAAGTATCCCCATGTAAAGGTCCCTCAAGTGGCAGAGGAAAGGGGGCCTTTTACCAATGACCACAGTAAAGGGCAGCATTTGGCACAGCACGTAAGATGCTACTGGGGGGCCGATGCTGTGGCACAGTGGGTTAATGCCCTGGCCTGAAGCACCGGCATTCCATGTGGGCACCGGTTCGAGTCCCGGCTGCTCTACTTCCAATCCAGCTCTCTGCTATAGTCTGGGAAAGCAGTGGAAGACGGCCCAAGTCCTTGGGCCCCTGCACCAGCATGGGAGACCCAGAAGAAGCTCCTGGCTCCTGGCTTCGGAGCAGTCCAGCTCCGGCCATTGTGGCCAACTGAGGACTGAACCAGCAGATGGAAGACCTCTCTCTCTGCCCCTCCTTCTCTCTCTATGTAACTCTGACTTTCAAATAAATAAATACATCTTAAAAAAAAAAAAAAGACACTATTTGGGACACCTGCATCCGATATCAGATTGCCCAGGTTCAAGTCTCGCTTCTGCTCACAATTTCAGCTCCCTGGGGGGAAGCAGGTGATGGCTCAAGCACTTAGATCCCTGCCACCCACGTGAGTTCCTGGTTCTTGGATTCAGCCTGGCCTGGCCTGGCCTAGTCCTGACTGTTGTAGGAATTTGGGAAGTGAACCAACAGATGGAAGATCTTTGTCTCTGTCTCTACCTTTTCTATAAAGCGAAAATAAGTAAATTAACTAAAAAGAAAAACAACGTCCCACGGTGCTCTTTGTGGGCTAACAACCTGCCCTGCCTACAGCACAGGTACAGATAAGGGGTGATTGTTTCCAGGCAAGAATTTCAAGGCTTGGACTTTACACCTGGTGACACGGCTCGAGGAACAGAATGATTGTCGTATGAGGTGTTTCTTTGCTTCTGGGTGTGGTGTGGCTGGGCATAAAGGCAGTGAAGCTGCAGTTCTGTGCTCCCACAGTCAGCCAGGCATCTTGCAGCCCCATGGACCACCGGTGCCATCACACTCAGGTGGGGTGGGGGGATGTCTCTATGACTCAGTACAAGAGCTCACAGAGAACAGCAGCAGCTACCGCCCAGATGTACCCTTGTCTCATTTTTTTTTTTTTATTTGAAAGAGCTACACACAGAGAGAGGTCTTCCATCTGCTGGTTTACTCCCTAATTGGCCACAACAGCTGGAGCTGCGCCTATCCGAAGCCAGGAGTCGGGAGCTTCTTCCAGGTCTCCCACGCAGGTGCAGGGGCCCAAGGACTTGGGCCATCTTCTCCTGCTTTCCCAGGCCATAGCAGAGAGCCGGATCAGAAGTGGAGCAGCCAGGACTCGAACCAGCACCCTTATGGGATGCCAGCACTGCAGGCTAGCGGCCCCACCCTTGTCTCATTTTTATCCTTTGTGCTGCGTTTGGTTGCTGTGGGCGTAACCAAAATGAGAGCAGGACTCGGTGGCCTCCGTTCTTGGCCACTCTCAAACTCAAACCAAACTTTACAGCTCAGCAACGGTTTCCCCCATGAGCTGTCGGCGGGGCTGCCCGTACTCTAGAAACCAGCAGGTAAAACTTGACCTGTGCAGTGACAGGCATAGGTCAAGAACACCACGTGTTGGCCCCACTGGCCCTGTTCAGTAAGTCAACTTACCCAGCGGCCTGAACAGGCGTGTCTGGAAACTTCAATTACCCTGGGTTTCCATGGAGACAGGGTGGCGCAGCCCTGGGTGCGCAAGCTCTTGTTGCTGAACAAAGAGCATTGATTGTGCCCTGAGCACTGTTCTCAGTGATTCACATCCATTATCTCACCTAAATTTCACAACAGATCCGTATCAACATCCTCTTTGCTGAAAAGAGAAAACAGGTTAAGCAACCTGCCCACAACTGCAGAACTGCCGGCTAACAGAGGGACTCCACGCAGTCCTGGCAGGCGGCTCCCAGCCCCACATACGGAGGAGGCATCTGGGTGTGGGATGACCCTGTGAAGAACAGGTGGCCTGGCCTGGCACCTCCAGGGTGCTCACTGGGCTCCAGAGACAAGAAGTACCCAAGCCCCGGCTCGAGGTTTTCACCTTTTGGAGAGTGCAAGTGTCTGAAGATTTATTTTTTATTTGAAAGGCAGAGTTACAGAGAGACAGAGACAGAGAGATCTTGCATCTGCTGGTTCACTCCCCAAATGGCTCCAATGGCCAGAGCTGGGCCAGTATGAAGCCAGGAGCCAGGAGCTTCTTCCGAGTCTCCCACATGGGTGCAGGGGCCCAAGCAATTGGGCCGTCCTGCACTGATTTCCCAGGCGCATTAGCAAGGAGCTGAATCAGAAGTGGAGCAGCCTGGTCTCAAACCAGCACCCTTATGGGATGCCAGCACCAATGGTGGTGGCTTTACCAGCTACGCCATAGCACCGGCCCCCAAGGATACAGGTCTCTGATCCACTCTCACCCAGGAACAGCAGGCTAAACTTCCCATCAGACATGATGTGCTTGATCACTGGAGTTAAAAGATTAGTTTTTTTGTTTTTTTTGTTTTTTTTTTTTTTTTCCTGACGGGCAGAGTGGACAGTGAGAGAGAGAGACAGAGAGAAAGGTCTTCCTTTGCCGTTGGTTCACCCTCCAATGGCCGCCGCGGCCGGCGCGCGCGGCCGGCGCACCACGCTGATCCGATGGCAGGAGCCAGGAGCCAGGTGCTTTTCCTGGTCTCCCATGGGGTGCAGGGCCCAAGCACCTGGGCCATCCTCCACTGCACTCCCTAGCCACAGCAGAGGGCTGGCCTGGAAGAGGGGCAACCGGGACAGAATCCGGCGCCCCGACCGGGACTAGAACCCGGTGTGCCGGCGCCGCTAGGCGGAGGATTAGCCTAGTGAGCCGCGGCGCTGGCTAAAAGATTAGGTTTTAAGATTAGTTTTCATTGTCTCCAAACTCCTCTGGCAGGATTATTCCCATTGTTGCATTCCAGGTTCTGCTGAAAATTCTAGCTTTGTAGGCTCAGAGCAAAATCTTAGTGTCCTTGGAAGGAGGTGCAGGTCCTCTGGGCTGGTGTACCCTGCGTTCCCTTTTAGCCTCTCCCTTAGCTCCAGAACAGCCACTGAGTCATCTCTCACAATCGCCATCAGCAGTATAAGCTCCAGATGAAACAGTGGCCACGGAGCCCAGTTCTGTCACCCCCTGCTCCCCCCAGGGCACTGGACAAGCTCTGTCTTCAGATGGGCCCTTGAGGGGCACCCTTGTTCTTGTATCTCTTTCCAAGGAAAAAGGGCTTTCCCAGAGGCCCCCAGGACACACCTCTCTGCCCCTGACTGGTAAGGAGAATGGGTTCATCGTGACAAGCAGAGACTAACTACCAAGAGACCAATGAAAGGATGACACATGACAGAACCCACCAGGGTTCTGAAAGTCCCATCTCTAGCTCCCCACAGTGGGGCTGCTGCTTGTTCTTCTTTCAAAGCTTTTTTGTTTTTTTTCTTAGTATTTAATTGAGAGATAGGTTCCCATCCCTTGGTCCACTCCCCAGATACAGTGGTTGGGTTGGGCTGGGGTGACAGCCAGGAGCTAAAGACTCAATCCGGGTCTCCCACGTGGGTGGCAGGGATGCAATCATTTGCGCCATCACCACTGTCGCCAGGGATCTGCACTAGCAGGAAGCTGGAGTCTGGAGCCACAGCCTCAAACTCAAGCAAGCCAGAGCGGCGCCGATCTGAAGCCAGGAGCCAGGAGCTTATTCCAGGTCTCCCATGTGGTTGCAGGGGCCCAAGGACTTGGGCCATCTTCTGATGCTTTCCCAGGCCATAGCAGAGAGTTGGATTGGAAGTGGAGCCACCGGGACTTGAACCGTGGCTCATATGGGGATACCAGCACTGCAGGCTGGGGCTTTAACCGCTGCTTCACAGTACCGGCCCCCTCTCCCTTTATTCTTGAGGTGTTCTTGGTTTGCACCCCTTATGCCCCTCAGTGATTTGGCAGGTCTGACAGCTGAAATCCAGGCTGAATTCTGACAGCTGAAATTCAAGTCTTGCTCATGTGTGAGGGGAGCCAACACCTTTTCAGTGTCTGAGCTCACTGCTTGTGACACATGCCTGTCACATGGTACTATAGTCTGACAGAGCACACACATATCAAGGCACTCCTGTCTCCTGTAGTATCAGATACACAGGAGTTCGTTCATGCTCCTCTAGGGTTCTGCTGGGAAAAAAATGATGTCATGTAAACAAACTAGATAATTCACACCCCTATCAATTTTCCAGAGTGCTTCAAGGGATTCAGGGCCCCTGAGATGTTTGGAGCCCCAAGAACTCTATGAACAAGTATTTTTCCCTCTCTACTCTGAACTTCCCTTGGTACCACTCCTCACCAAACACCAGCCCCAAATAGCACCAACTCCCTGCCTGCCAGGGGGACCCTTCCGCTAGGGAGATTTATACCCAGCCCATGTGGCCCATGGTTTTGCCCATTACACCATGCTGGGGCGTCCACAGGGCCTTGCTGGTAAGTAGCTCTTTAAAGAATTTCTGCTGTCCCTCCTTTTTTTGGAGGGGGCAAGAGACCCCCAAATCAGGTCCGATGTTCATTTGGAGTCACGAAGCCAATAATGAATCCAAAGCTAAGAGCAGCAGCATAGGTTTTATTCAGTGGCCAAAGGGTGAAGCAGGGGCCTGGCTTGCAACTCAACGTCTCAGCCTGCTATGGGCTGAGAAGGCACAGACACAGGGCAACAGGAGGAGGGGGAGGAATACGTCAGTAAGAGGGAGGGAAGAGCATGGGTTTTGCAGGAAGGAGGCAGACTCGGGGAGCCACCTTCCTTTTGTCCTTTTGTCTCTTCCGCTGTGCTCGTGATGACCGCTGTTATGGTGCCAGTGGGAGGGACTTCTAGCATGGAAGTGAGATTCTAATGAGGCTGAAGTCGGCTTGAGGTCATGTTGGCAGCCATCTTGGATCTCACTGGTTCAGACCAGTTGGCTGGGGTGGGTGGGGGGTGTGGAACTCTTGCTGAAAAGTCTTCCTGTTCTCAAAGAGAAAGTTAGGGTGGGGCTGTGCAGACACTGCCCTGGGTCACATTTCTGTGCATCCCCGATTTCCAAAGGTAAGCCCACTTTCATCTGCTGTCAGAACCACCACCCATTCGTGGAAAGGGAATGTTGTTCTTCTTTAGGGCATCCTTTGCAGTCTCTCCTCCTTGAGATCAAAGCCTGCCAGGGCCAGCATTTTGGTGCAGCAGGCTAAGCCACCTCTTGGGCTGCCTGCATTCCATCCCAGAGAATTCTGCTCCCAAGCCAGCTCCCTGTAAATGCGCCTGGGAAGCAGTGGATGATGCTAAAGTGCTCAGGCCCCTGCCAGCCATGTGAGTGACCAGGATGGAGGTCCGGGCTCCTGGCTTTAGCCTGGCCCAGCTTTGGCTGTTGTGGTCATTTGGGGAGTGAACCAGTGGGTGGAAGATCGATCTCTCGCTCATTTTCTTTCTGGCATTCTGCCTTTCAAATAAATAAATAAATCATTAAAAAAAAAAAAAGCCTTCCAGATTTATCTTCAGGTTCAGGTGGAATACACCCAGGAGAGGGCCAAGGGACAGTGGTTGGCTCTGTGTGGCCTCTGTCTACCCCACCCTCCACACCTGGAGGTTCAGAGAGAACTTTGTATACAGGCTGCCTTTGGACAATGCCAACATTTCCTGAAGACGGGATTTTTTTTAAAAGTCTTCAGTCTAACACCTTATCAAAAAATGTTTTTAAGATTGACCTATTTATTTGAGAGGCAGAGTCACAAACAGAGCTGGAGAGACAGAGAGGGAGGTCTTCCGTCCTCTGGTTTGCTCCCCATATGGCTGCAATGGCCGGAGCTGGGCCGATCCAAAGCCAGGAGCCAGATTCTTCCACCACCCTCCTAGGCACTTCTGCAGGGAGCTGGACCAGAAGTGGAGGAGCTGGGACTTGATTCCACATGGAATGCCACTGCCGGGGGTGGAGGCTTAATCTACTGCACCACAGCACCAGGCCCTGCAGACTGGACTTAAGATCACAGAGCCAGTGGCTGCAAGACTCAAGATTCAACACACTGGGGCCGGCACTGTGGTGCAGCGGGTTAAAGCCCTGGCCTGAAGCCGGCATCCCATATGGGCACCGGTTCTAGTCCTGGCTGTTCCTCTTTCGATCTAGTTCTCTGCTATGGCCTGAGATAGCAGAAGAAGGTGGCCCAAGTCCTTGTGTCCCTGTACCCACATGGAAGATCCGGAAGAAGCTCCTGGTTCCTGGCTTCAGATTGGTGCAGTCTGGCCATTGTGGTCATCTGGGGAATGAACCATCAGATGAAGACCTCTCTCTCTGTCTCTACCTCTCTCTGTAACTTTGTCTTTCAAATAAATAAAATCTTTAAAAAAAAAAAAAAAGGTTCAACACAGTGGATCTGTGTTGTGGCACAGTGGGTTAAGCCACAGTCTGCAACACCAGCATCCCATATGGATGCCATTTTGAGTCCTGGCTGCTCCACTTCTGATCCAGTTCCCTACTAATGTGCCTGGGAAAGCAGTGGAAGATGGCCCAAGTATTTGAGCCCCTGCACCCACAGGAGA